CATGTGCCATTAAATTTATTTATATCAAAACACTATACAAGGAAAAGTAATATATCTATTTTATATATAAAACAAGATAGATTCTTAAGGACTAATTTGCCAAAGTCACAGTTCTGCCACACTTTGCCAGTATGGTAAAAGCATCCACAGCCTTCTTACCAGTCAGACTATATAGAATGGCAACATAGCCTTTCTAAGTATGTTTGCACATTCATTTTTTCCAGTATTCATTACTGGTTCCTATTTAAAGCTAAGGTTTGTTACCAAAGCTGAAGAAAAATCTTAGAGGAATGAGAGAAATGTGAGCGGAATTCCAGGCAGCAATGCAGGCGTGCTCAAGTGCGAAATATGAGAAGCACATCCGCCAAGTTCATCTTGGCCCCCGCCTGATACTATCTCACTGATCTGAGTCCAGTCTCTCTCTCTCTCTCTGTCTCTCTCTCTCTCTCTCTCTTTCATTTGTTTCTCTCCATCTCACCCTCCCCCACTTCCTCTCTATCCCAGAAGCATGTAAAAACCAGGAAGCAGCAACTGGAGAAACTCCTGGGAAGGCACTGGAAACACTGGAAAGGAAGGGTTCTCAAGTAGCTTTATTCCAGGTAGGAAAAATTCTAAGACAAACCTTCACAGGATCATAAATAACAGGAAAAAGTTATCCAAATATTGACTGTAAGGTCAAATATTTGGGGAGAGAATCACCAAAAAGAGCTAATTGAAATATGTCACCAAATTCATGTTTATACACAGGACATTATAATTTAGTATGAGTCGAATCTGACGTTGGATGTACTTTCTAATGCGATGTAGTATTTGAGGCCTTTAATTATGTTTGATTCAGCATCTAGCTTTGTTCTGCAGTCCCAGTTCCTATCTGTTCCACTCTGATGCTAACGAATCTGTCTCCTGACAGTATAAGGACAGTGTCTGCACTCAGCATTAGTTCTCAAATCCACAGAGTTCACTTATGACACTGACCCTGCCTCCCCTCCACATCTGGAAACTTTTTAGTCTAGTGTGCGTAACTGGCATTATTTTTGAAACCTAACAGACTTCTCAATCAGCCTTGCTTTTAACAGTCGAATAGGATGGCCTGGGCGTCCATCATCGGATGAGCACACAAGGACAATGTGGTGTATATCTACAATGGAATTTAATTCAGACAGAAACATATGTTATTTGAAGAAAACGCGGATGGAATTATAGACACAGAAAGGCGAACATTACGCTTCTCTTATGTGAGTTTCTCACACACACACACACACACACACACACACACACACACACACACACACACACCAGTACCCGTGACAGGGGACTTATTTGGAGAAGAGAAGGAGAAGAATGGGATGTGTGAGGAAGAAAAGAAAATGGTGCTAGGGAGTTAAACAAAGTAATGTTGTTACTAGATTTTTCCTTTTACTGTCACCCAGACCATTTTCACAACATCTGGTAAAGTTCAAAACAGTACTCTTCTTAGCAGAACAGTAAAGAGAATGTGATTTTCTAGAAGTCAAACACACGGGCTAGATATTCTGCTTCCACTCGCTAACAAGAATGCATCTGCTGAGGAAGAACATGTCTGAAGAACACTGCGGTGCTACTGCCCCAGCGCTGAAGTGAAAATGGAGTCTGTGGAAGCTGGACCTACATGCTCCCCTAAAGGAAAAAGTGATCAGACCAAAATAACCGTGTGAGGCATTGTGTTAAAGTGGGAGATGCCACAGGACATATTTTAGTACCCTCTCCAACAGGTTCACACCCTGGTAGAGGAGATAAAGTTAACAGACAATTATGATTCAGTGCTATGAAGGACGTCACACGGATAAGCATGGGGCGTGAGGGAAGCACTGGAGAGGGAGGACGTGACCTCCACTACAGACATGCTCTGTGTCCACCAGGGCGGCCAGAACAGGGACGACAAGAGCATGTGCGGGGAGAACAAAGAACAAACCAGTCCTCATATATCATCAGTGGGAAAGTAAACTGGTATGACTGTGGTTTCACAGGGTTGAGGAGATAAGCCCATCAGTAAAGCACTTGTTTCCCAAGTATGAGGACCTCAATTCAATCCACAGAACACACATAAAAACATAGGTGCCGTGGTATATGTGTGTAATCCCAGGACTGGGGAAGCAGGAACAGGAAGACAGCCATGGCTCCTTGGCCAGTCAGCCAGTTTAGCCTAACTCAGGGGTGCTCAGAGGGGTCACCCCTTTGGAAATCTCTATCTCCAAAAAATATTTACATTGTGATTCATAACAGTAGCAAAATTAGATTTATGAAGTAGCAATGAAAGAACTTTATGGTTGGGGTCACCACAACATGAGGTTCTATGTTAAAGGGTCACAGCATTGGGAAAGTTGAGAACCACTCAAATAGACCCTGTCTCAAAAACAAGGGGGGTGGCATCTGAGGAAGACACCCAAGTATGAGCTTCACGCATACACATGCACACCCACACATACATGCAATTGCACAGACATGAACACACAAAAAGTGGTTTGATGGCATCTTACACAGTTTAGCACAGAATTAACATGTCATCTAGCAATTCGACACTTCGGTATGTACAAAACACGCAGAAGAATGTTCAAGGCAACCTATTAAAAATGGAGGTACCTCCAGTGCTCCTCAAATGATGACTAGACCTCCCCAAAACAAAAAAAGTGTCACATTCTGAAACATTGACTCAGTAAGGAAGGAAGTACCAGCAATGCTACAACAAACAGAAACAGTCTTGGAAAATCGCATGCTGCCTGAAACCAGATACACTGGGTCACAAATTGTGATTCCCACTTACATGAAGTATTTAAAGTAGACAAATGCTAGACTAATGACTTCAGATATTGTAGGAATATGGGCAGGAAGAGTAAGCATTAGTGGATACATCATTTCTCTTTGGGGAGATGAAAACTGTTCTAATGATCCACATAGAGTCTTTGTAAATATTCTGAGACCTGCTGAACTCGAAGCTTGAAAACCATAAGGAGCTTTAGTCCTTGTTGATCATGAACAGGGCCCTGGGTTCAACCTCAGACGCCATTTAAAACAGACAAAAATTATAAGATGTGAATTTTCTCTTAAATCAAAATCATCAAAGAAAGGGAAGTTTAGCAGGCAAAGCCACAGTTAACAGGCAGGGAAGAGGGAAAAGAGTCCAAGCTGGCGGATAATAAAAAGAAGGGGGGGGGTGAGACCACTAGCAAGGTGGCTTAGCAGATAAAGGCATTTGGTGGCAAGTCAGAGTGTAGCAGGCTTTCTCTGGGCCACCAACCAGCTCTCAAATCAAAACATGGAGACTTATTATTAGTTATGAAAGCTCCACCTTAGCTTAGGTTTGGCCCGCTATCTCTTATCACTTAATTTTCTGTTTCTCTTCATCTACATTTGCCTCTTTCTTTCATTCTGCATGTCCTTGCACAGCTTCCTCCATGCCTGGCTAGCTGGCAGCTGGTTGGCTGGCCCCTCTCTTTCCTCATTCTCCCTCTGCCTTCCTGACGGCCTCCGCCTAGATTCCTCCTCCTACTTAGTGTCTCTGCCCACGAGTCCCTCCTAACCCTCTCCTGCCTAGCTATTTGACCATTTAGGTTTTTTTTTGTTTGTTTGTTTGGTTGGTTGGTTTTTTGTTTGTTTGTTTTTTATGAGACAGGGTTTCTCTGTATTGTTTTGGAGGCTGTCGGTCCAGCCCAGCCTCGAACTCACAGAGATCGCCTGCCTCTGCCTCCGGAGTGCTGGGATTAAAGGCGTGCGCCACCACTGCCTGGTGACCATTTAGTTTTTTATTAGACCTCCAATGCCTTAGACAAGCATAGCATCATATTTACATCATTAAACAAATGCAGCATAAACAAACATAACACGCCTTTCCACAGTTAAAGTAATATTCCACAACACCAGAGGACCTGAGTTTGATACCCATGGCCTACAAAGTAGAAGAAATGAGCAGAATCCTTCCAGTTTTCTTTCTGACCTCCAAATGCACACCATGGTACATGCACATTCACACATCTGTACGTACGTACATACATACATACATACATACATACATACATACATATGCATGAATACATACATAATTGTGATCATTTTATATTTAAAGAAAGAAAGAGTAAAGGGATGGGTGTCTGAAAGTGTTGGAAGATGCGACCTGAGATGTAGCTAGCTTGCAAGTGATGACAAAGGCAGTATAGGAGTTCTGACCAGCTGTTTGAGCATGGAAGGGGAGAGGGAAGGAGAGACCAGTTACAACAGCTGTTCTGGCTAGCTGACGGACCTGACGAGAAAGGATAGACTGCTGAGCTAAATGCAGAAACTTAAGAACAACTCCAGGGAAGAAAAAGAGAGAGGACAATTGGAAAATAAAACACACTTGGACATTTCTTATGCCCACCCTTTACAAAAATGTTTTCCATGTCAACCACTAGAGAACAATTTACTTGGGCACAAATTGAAAAGGAGTATCTTAGAAGGGACCCCACCCCAACTCAGTCCCTTGGATCCTTGAATTCTTAGGAGGTGAGCAAATCTAGACTCACTTCCTGTTGCTTTTTCAAGCAATGCTAGCATTTTTCAATGTTTGCCTATAGTTTATCAGCTCCCTGGGTCCTGCAGTGAGCTGCCTCTTAAGTTTGTTTTCCTTCTGTCTTACAATATTGCAAGCACTGTAAATACTATAAGTGGATACAAAGACACTTATTATGAAGATTTCAACAGTATTAAAGAGAAACCGTTTCCTACATTCATTGCAATGTACATTTCCCCCTCTCCTTTTAAATTTGTATTTCATGATGCATTTTATCAACATTAAGACACCAGAACTCTGGGCTGGGTGTGTAGCTCAGTGTAGATCACCTACTTAGCAATCAAGTAGGCCTGGGTCTGATCCACAGCACTGTAAATGTAAATGAATCTATTCACTGGATTGTATGTTTCAAAGCACACATTTTTTCCATGCTTAAGAACTAGCAATACACATTTAAATAAAGAGAATAAGCGTTTACCTTAAGTTGGTAAGACTGACACCAAGTCTGAGGCTGAAGATGTTAAAACATCCACATCCACAAGGAGAGCTCAGAGAATAGTGGAAGGGCTCCCCTACATAGCTCCATCTGTAAAGAAAAGCCACTGTTTTATTATCTTCTGGACTGGGGGGGCAGATATACAGAATGATGTCTCAGAATTACAGATGAATCATGTATATATACAGTGGTGCTCTACATCCACACACTAACCTTCTGCAGCTTTGATCAGTGTTGTGAATCAAAATTCTAGAAGGAATTTAGAATATAATTATTCTGATTTATTAAGTTGTGGCCTTTAATGTGTGCCTAACTATACGTGTGTATGTATATGTGTGAGTGTGAATGTGTGTGTGAGTGTGTGTGTGTGTGTGTGTGTGTGTGTGTGTGTGTGTGTGTAGGGTTTATTAAACACTATCTATACTTCCAGGCGGGGGTCTTGGATAAGTAGCAAAGAGAACAGCAAGACTCTCAAATGTGATTTCCACACATTAGATACTAGCTAATATTTATAAGGCTTGTGTGGAACAGATGTCTTTCACAACTTCGTTTATATCATCTTCCAATGCCATACCTGTAACCCCAGTAGTTAGAAGGCTGAGTGAAGTAGGGTTGGAAATTCAAGGCCAACCAAGGCCCACCTAGACCTCCTCTCTAAACTAAAAAAAGACAACTGGTAAATGACAGAGTGGGAATATGCCTGTACACAGGGAATCTGACTGAGCTCTGAATTACTGCGTGTGCATATTGACATCACCTGCAACAGGAAATATGTAAGGAAATCTTGAAACCAGAGTTATGAAGAATCCTAAGTGGTTTATTCTCATTCTGTGGTACTTCTCAATGAATACAAATGTGTCCCAAGATTTAGAATGAACTTAGTCAAGGTTACATAGCACATGGAGATGGAACCCTAGAGAGGAAATGCAGAAGGTAAGGCAGTGTATCAATTACTGTGTACACATTGGGATGTTCCCAAAACTCCAGTACCAGAGCTAATGCCCGGGTTTCCACAAACACGGGTACAAACATGCTGAGGATTCCAAAATTCTCCATTGCTGTAAAAGGAAAAAACATACTCCAAATTTTCTTCTTTCTAGTTAATCTTTCTTGGCTCATTCTTGTAGGCTCTGTTTGAAATCTCAACCTCCCACTGCCAATTGGTGTCTCCTTTCATTTTATACTTTGTTAATGCTTATATATCCTTGACAACTCAGCATTTATTAGGATGGGAGAGAATTCAATTTGTCTCTGCATATCTTCCTAAGAAAGGAGCAGAGAATAAATTAATAAAAATGCATAATGTTTAACGCTCTATAGAAGTGAAATGTGATGTGTAGCTGACTTGACTGGGGGTCCCTGGAGACAGAATAGACTGAAAAGTCAGAAACATCATGGTGGAATGCTAGTGCCCCCCCCCCAAAAAAGGCCATAAAAATTGAGAATAAACCATTTGCAGATATAGACCTCTACGTGTAAGCTTTAAAATACTGAAGGAAGCTATGAAGAAGACAACAGAAGAAAAACGACCTCCCATGCTGCTGGCCTGGCAGAACTAATGTCATGAAAACAGCAATACTACAGGCGATGTTCAGGCAATCCTGGGTTAAAACGGACAGCATTTTAGGTACCACAACACCTGACTTCAAACTTGACTACACAACACAGAAACAAAAACAATACCAGCACAAAAACAGATGCAGAAACCAGTGTGGTGGAACTGAGAATCCAGAGATACACCCATGCACCCACAGCCATTTCATTTTTGAGAAAGGTGTAAAAAACCATACTCTTGAGAAAAAAGAGCATCTCCAGCAAATGTTCCTGGGAGGATCACAGATATGCAAACAGAAGGAGGATCCATCGCTCTCATTCCTTAACAACAACAACAACAACAAAAAAATCGAAGTACATCAAAAACCTTAATGTATGACCTAAATTTCCAAAACTCATGGATGAAAACACCTCACAACATGGCCAAAGGCAAAAGACTTCCAAAAGAACTCCAGTGGCTCAGGAAATAATTGCAATAACTGATAAATAGCATCACATGAATCAGAAAGGTTCTGGACAGCAAAGAAAACAATTGAGTGAAGAGACCACCTACAGACTTGGTTAGCTATCCATTTAAAGGGGAATTCATGTCTACAATACACAAAAAATATATATACTAAACAAGAAAGCAAATAAATAAACTATCAATAAACACATGAATTTGAAAAAAAATGTTCAACATCCTTAGCCACCAAGAAAAAGAAATTTACATTGAGATTCCAACTCATCCCAGGCTGGCTGGAACTCAGAGATCTGCTTGCCTCTGCCTTCCAAGAGACAGAATTAAAGACATGAGCCATTGTTATTAACTTCAAACCTCTAAGCCGCTCTTACAAGTAAAAATATAAATAGCCTGAAGGTTGTTGGGATCATTGCTATGGACACATGTTGAAATTCTACCCTACAGATTTGCTGGTGTCCAGAGGTTGGGGCTTTGAGAAGTGATTCGTGCATCAGAGTGAATCCCTCATGAACAGAACTGGTACCAAGGGCCTCTCTCTCACATAAACCTCTGTTTAGATACAACAAACTGGCAGTCTACAATCAATGAGAGTAGCTCTACCAGATGTAGACCACCTTGTACCTTTATCTTAGTCTTCAGGCTCCAGGCAACTCAAATCTACAGGTCTTTTGTCCTAAGTCTAGGACACTCCGTCATAGCTTCCTGAACTGACCCCAACATAAATGGGAGCTCACTGCATAGTTGCAAGGAACACCTGGGCATCGTTTAAACTTCTAGTCTTTGGACTGCACTTCACATAATCACTGAGGAGGATCCCAGTTTTTAGCTCCCCTCAACTCTCCAACTAACCAACTCACAAGTCACCAATTAGAACCACTAATCTCAAGCTACCTCCCAAACCCCTCCTCTTACCCCTAACAAACTCCCAAGATCTCACTTCCAGGATATTGAAGACAGTCAATTCAGTAAACATCATGTTGTGAGAGGTAATTTTCATCACATAAAATGCCATGTCTTAATATGTTGCCTTATAGAAGGTAATTAAGAATGAAATTTGAGCAGAAGCAAAAAAAGAAGAAAGGGAAGAAAGAAAAACAAAGCCAAATAATTGTGTGGAAAGGGGATAACAGGTAAAAATGTTTAAAGATTTAAAACAAGTTAGGGAATAGACTTCTGACAGGTCAAAAATGGTGGATCTGTCTTCATAAAATCTCGGCTCCTGGTAACCAAGCTGTGTACTTAAAAGCTTAATTTTTAAAATGTTTTTCTCCCCCTTTTTCAGGTGTGTGTGTGTGTGTGTGTGTGCATTCACATGTGTCCCTGTCTATCTATCATTCACTGAAATACCAAGTGCACTGTGGCTTTCTCCTTTATAATAGAAAAGCAAAGCTATTGTCACTCATGGACTTTGGTCTAGTCTGACAAGCAGGAATTAAAAATTCTTAAAAAAAAAAAAAAGGAGAAGCTTTGTATGGTTCATCTATCCTACGGGTCAGCTTGCAGGGGGGGCCAGAGACAAGGTACCCAAGGGAGTGTAGAAGGCAGGAAACTCCAGAAAAACCCATGCCTTCTTGACTCATACAGCCCACCATCACCCACCACCACCCACACACTGTCACAGCACCCTTCCTCCGCCCCATAAGACTTGGTGTGCTGTGAGAATCAGAACGAGCTACACCTTTCTCTCTATTAATGACTGAACTACACCCTTAAATTAAGTCTCCACAAACACATGTCTTCTACCAGTTTCTAAAGATTTCTCCATTTGCCCCCCACCCAAATAATGAAACAAACGCACCCCTACACACAAAAGGTAACTCCATCATTTTACTCCGTTTCTAGGCCTCTGGTTTTGTGTAATCCAAAGACACAAAGCCTGTAGAGCAAAAAATGGTTGGGCTATTTTGAAAGAATGCATCAAATATTAGCTGAAAATTGGTTCTAAATGGGGCCACTTAAGCCTCCGTGGGAAGAAATCACAGGGACTCGGGATTAGAAGCCAAAAAAGAAAATTGAGGACAGGAAAATGATGACTGATGGGTTTAGCGCTATTATCTCTGAGAATGCTAAGGACATTGAGGCTTTGGAGGAGGGAAAAATTACATATGTGACCTTGAGAACACATCCAGACTGAGAAGTTGGCTTGGTGTGGCTTCCTGTAAGGGAGGAAGTGAGACAGGCTGTGTTCGTCATGTCCAGATAGGCGAGAAAGACTCAGATAGCAGTTTTGATTGCCTTTGAGCATTTTGGGGGCTGAAAGCTACATCTCAGCAAAGAATAAACATAGTGTAACTGGAGTAAAATGTGCCATCTTCAGTAGTTGAGGTTAGAAATGTAGAAACGAACCTAAAGGAGTCTGTAACCTTGGGACACTGGAGACAGGACATTTCAGCCTTTGTGTTACTCCTGGCACAGCATACTGAACAGTTAGTCTTGAGTCACTAAGAAGACCCAATGGAAGCCTGTAAACCATGCCTCACACTGACTGAAGGCTCCTAGACCCCATGAACATAACCAGTGCAAATACTGACACCATACTTTAACCTCCAGGAAGGCAGATTTGCTGAAAGATTTTTTTAGACAAGTGGTTCTTAGGTAGTTCATCTCAGGATACTATTACTAAATTTAAAAATTGCTGATGAGTCCAATGAGATTTTGATCACAAAATGTTTATACCAAGCAATATTAGTTCTTAGTAATGCCTAATACATTTAATTCCTTTAAAAAAAATAATGCATTGTGGGGCTGGAGAGATGGCTCAGTGGTTAAGAGCACTGGCTACTCTTCCAGAAAACTACAGTTTGATTCCCAGTACCCATATGTCAGGGCACAACCATCTGCAACTCCAGTTCCTGGGGATTTAATGCCCTCTTCTGGCCCCAAAGGGTATTGCATGCAAGTGGTGCTTGGCAATACATGCAGGAAAAACATCCATACATATAGAAGAAAAGTTTTTTACATCTTTTTACAAAGTATCATCCACGACAAACAAAACTAGCATTTTATAATATTTTACAAATGTAATAATAATCAAATTTTCTCAAAACATTTAGTAACAAGAATGGCATTGTTT